AGAAAATGGGGGGCAGCCGCATGCATCATGGACGTACGGGCGACGTCCATGACCATGCCAATGCGGCGCTCAGCAATCCCATTTTGCTGCGGGGAGTCCGGAAGCGTGAAGGACTGGCGGATGCCTCGCGCACGACAGTAGGCACGCAGAAGGCCAGAGGAGAACTCTCCGCCTCTGTCCGAGTGCAGACGCAACACAGGAAAGTCAGAGCCAAAGCTCTGCCTGAGCTGAAGACGAGCTGCGCGGATCCAGTCGATCAGCACCTCAGTGACCTCACCCTTGCTGCGCAAGGGGAAGACCGTGGTGTAACGCGAGTAGTCGTCAACAACGAGCAGGAAGTAGCGCTCCTGACCCTGTCCACGGACGCGGGCTGGGCCCTACACGTCCATGTGAAGCGTCTGCAACGGGGCCTCTGTCGGAGGAAACTGGGAGGAGTGAGGGGCAGCACGCTGGCGCCCCTCGACACAGGGGACACAGGCAGGGCCAGGGCCCTGAGGAAGGGGAGGTAGAGACCGGGGGAGACCAGACACAAGAAGACGGGAGGCCATGCCTCTGAGCCGAAGCAGAGAGGGGTGGCCAAGGCGGTGGTGCCAGAGGAGGGTCTCGTGAGACAGACGACGACACGAACAGGGGGCAGACTCAGGACCAGACCTGGACGCTGCGGCAAACACCTGACCAGACGAAGGGACCCTACCAGACTCAGCACCTGGAGGAGAAGCAGTGGTCAGTGTGTACAGGCTCGACCCTGGCCGACGTGTAAACGTAGCCAGGTGGCGTCCCGTGCTAGCCTCCGTGCAGTGGGTCACTCGCTGACGAGCAGGAGTGAACTGGTGGACACCCGCATCCTGTAGGTCAGCACCACTCACCAGGTTCTTCGAGAACGAGGGGAGGTAGAGACCAGACAGGGTGCCAGAGGGGGCCGCAGGACACGGAAGGACCGTGGAGAAGCGAGACAGGACAGGCCCCCCAGAGGGGTCAGTCAGGGACACCGCAACCGGCCGACTCAGCGGCGTGAGAGTGGTGCGGTCCCGAAAGAAGGAGCGAGACGCTCCAGAGTCAAGGGTGAAGGTGTGAGAGGCCGAAGCCGACACAGTACCTGAGAGGGCAAACTCACCAGTACCTGAGAGCACAGACGCACTGGCACCTAGAGCAGCAGCCTCACTAGCACCTGACGCAGCAGTACCAATGCCCGGGTCGGGCGGGAAACACCGGTAACAGTCATCCTCATCACTACCAGTCACAGCATACATAGCAGAAAGAATAGCATCAAAGTCAAGATCATAAATGGCTACACCAGCCCTAGACAGCTCCCCCCAGCGGGGGATCTCAGCGGCCTCTGGAAACTGCTGACGCCAAGCGTCGGTCAGGCGACCAAAGCAGCGGCGGGCTGCGTGGGTGCCTCCACACCTCTCCCCCGCACGGTCACCGGTGCGAAGAACGTAGGGGCAGGGACCAACCGCACCACCACGCTGACGCTGCAAGTACCACTCACGAAGCTGCTGAGGGGCGGGGACGCTGCGAGAGCGCTGCTGCTGCTGCTGCTGCTGCTGCTGGCGCTGGCCACCCCCAGAGCTGCTCCGCTGGGACGAGCCACTCCGACCCCCGCCGCCACCGCCACTCCCGCCTCCACCGCCACCCCCGTCTCCACCGCCACCGCCCCCACCGGTACCCTCGCCCCCGCCTCCTCCGCCACCGCCTCCGCCGCCACCTCCGCCTCCACCGCCTCCACCAGTACCTCCACTCCCGCCACCACCTCCACCGCCACCCCCACTCCCTCCGCCACCCCCACCTCCTCCGCCTCCACTGCCCCCTCTAGCTCCACCCGCTCCCTTGCCCCCCTTGCCCTTGCCAGAGCGGCGTCTACCGCTGGGGGCAGACGCCGCACCGACCGACTCAAAACCAGCGAGGTCGGCCGCAGCGGCAGAGGCGACAGAGGGCAGCAGGGGGGAAGGAGAACACCCCTCAAAGATGGGGGTGCGAGGGTCACCCCGAGAGGCCCCTACAGCGACGATGCTCTTCTCAGCCGCTACCAGGGACTCCTCAAGGAGGTCGACAGTGAGGGTGGTGGGACAGACAGAGAGAAACTGGTCCCTAACGACACGAAGGGACTCAGGGAGACGGGTGACGAGAAAGTAGAGAGTGATGTACATGGGAGGAGGGTTTGCGGCGCGGAACTCAGCAGGAAGGGCAGCGCGGTAGCGAGCGTCACTAGCGCGGAGGTGGGTAACGAGGTCAGCGACAGTGGGAAAGGCAGCGAGGTCAGGGAAGAGAAACGGTAGCATGAGGCGGCTCAGCGTAGCGGAGGAAGGGGAGGAGTAGCGTGTAACTACAGCGTCGTACAAGGCCTGAGCGGTCTTGCACTGACTAAAGTGGGCACGCTCGGAGGAAGGGAGGTGGCGACGCACAGCAAGACGTGCAGCAGCATCGCGTGTGGCCCACTTGGAGCGAACAGCAGGGTCAGCATCAGCAGGAGGGGCAGGGACAGCTCCAGAGACAAAGTCAAAGAGAGAAACCTCATCGATCGCATCGCACAGTAAGTACAGCTGCAGGTCCTCAATCCAGACTGGAAAGTCAATGGCGCGACCCTCAGTGTCAAAAGACAGGACACTGGGGGTGGCCATTGCAGCAGCTGATTGTCTCACTGGGCACGAAGAGTCGGGTAGCACAGCGGCTCAGCAACTCGGCAGAACAGCAGCTGCGCACGCCTCGGAGCAGCAGCAGCCACGCAAGAGCAGGAGCTCGGCTCCTCAGATTGCCCGGGCGGCTCGGGCGGCTCGGGTCGCTGGGGCGGCGCGGGCGGCTCGGGCGGCTCGGGCGGCTCGGGCGGCTCGGGTTGCTGGGGCGGCGCGGGCGGCTCGGGCGGCTCGGGCGGCTCAGGTGTACGGGCGGCTCGTGCGGCGCGGGCGTCGCGACGGGCGGCTCGCTGGCGGCTCGCGGGCGGCTGCACAGGCGGCTCAGGGACGGCGGCGCGGGCGGCTCAGGGACGGCGGGTGCACGGGAGGCTCGGCGGGCAGCGTACAGGCAGCTCACGGGCGGCTGCGACGGGTGGCTCGCGGGCGTCGGGCGCTAGGGCGCTGGGGCGACGACGGACGGCGCTCAGGCGTCAGGGCGGGCGGCCGTAAGGGCGAAAGGGCGGGCGGCGCTCGGGCGCTAGGGCGAGCGGCGCACGGGCGCTAGGGCGGGCGGCCGTCAGGGCGCTAGGGCGGGCTGCGCTCGGGCGCTAGGGCGGGCGGCGCTCGGGTGCTAGGGCGGGCGGCCGACAGGGCTCTAAAGGCGGGCGGCCGTCAGGGCGCTAGGGCGAGTGGCGCACGGGCGCTAGGGCGGGCGGCCGTCAGGGCGCTAGGGCGAGCGGCGCACTGGCGCTAGGGCGGGCGGCCGTCAGGGCGCTAGGGCGGGCGGCGCTCGGGCGCTAGGGCGGGCGGCGCTCGGGCGCTAGGGCGGGCGGCGCTCGGGCGCTAGGGCGGGCGGCGCTCGGGCGCTAGGGCGGGCGGCCGTCAGGGCGCTAGGGCGGGCGACCGTCAGGGCGCTAGGGCGGGCGGCGCTCGGGCGCTAGGGCGGGCGGCGGTCAGGGCGCTAGGGCGGGCGGCCGTCAGGGCGCTAGGGCGGGCGGCCGTCAGGGCGCTAGGGCGGGCGGCCGTCAGGGCGCAAGGGCGGCGGCGCTCGGGCGCTAGGGCGGGCGGCCGTCAGAGCACTAGGGCAGATCGAAAAAAAAGGAAGTACGAGGGCCCGGAGCGCGCTCCGGGCAGAAAAAAAAGTTAAGCGGTAGCGGTGGTGGGCCCTACGAACAGTTCCCACAGGGGAACCTGCTCGATACCATGAGAAGAAGTGAACGAGAATGAAATGACTATGAACGAAGTGAGTACAAATAGGAAACCCTGATTGGGTTGTACCCCTTATGGGATACCCCACTATAGCCTACAGAAACAAGTAAGCTATATGTTCTGACACCAACAACATGGTGAGGCGTCATAACAGCAAGGCTTGAATTCATCTCAAGACGTTCAACATAACACGCTTGCAAAAAGAGGAGATCCTACATTTTGAACGAAAGACCTTGATCTTTTGCCAACCATGCATCCCCTTCGTCTTTTTCCCTCTACAGCGCGAAATGCGAGCACATATGATTGACGAGAAAATGCATGCACAAGTTATTTGACTTTTATGATGAACTTATGAACATTGCCCTAGATTCCCTCAAGTACCTGTAAACATCAGTGGCCGTGGTTGCCTTCTTTGTCCTGGAGTAAACAGGGTCCACATAGCCCGGTGTTCCCATTACTCGCGTAGAACCCACTGTCGTGCCCTCTCCCACTCTCACCAATCCAAAATCTGCAACCTTGGCCTGGTGGGTACAGAGGTTACCAAGTCAAAATATGTAGGATAGTTATTGGATGGGGGTATACTCCGGCGTGCAGAGCACAAAGGAAGCTGATTGCACATTCAAACCATTAGGAAGAAAAGTACTATCCAAGCGTTTGTGCATTCCATTTACTATTATAGGACATATTTGAGCGTCATACATCCCGATTTCCAGTGTGTTAAGGTTCATAGGAGAGGGATCTGGACAGCTGAAAGTAGACATGAGATTTTTGAACGCTTGTTCGGTTCAACTCGAACACGTTGAAACCTCTTTTTTTTTGCCAAAAATGTTGTTTTTTCAGCCTCAAATTTGTTTTGTTCGAATTGAGTAAAAACAGACTCACATGAACAATCATGGCTGCACTAGTGAGAATTTGAACTCGATGCCATGATGCACGCTTTCTCGGTTGGCCCGTGATTTACTACGTGATTGAGGTGCCTTGAAACTTAGTCGACTTATGATAAACTGAAATGTAATACAATGGACAGAATGCCGTTTTTTTGTTCTTCTTACTCTTGTTTTTTTTCTTCTCTTTTTTGGCTTGCGGATTTGTGTTGAGATGCACACTATCTCGGGTTTTTATCATCCAAAACGCTGCTGTCATAATTCAAGTCCTTTTTTCATTGTTGAGGGCTTGCAATTATACTCTTCTTGCCTGCATGTCAGCAGTGATGAGGATGTTGGCGGGTTTGATGTCGCGATGCACGAAGCCAAAGCTGTGGAGATACTCCAAGCCCCGCGCTGCCCCAATCAGGATGCCCAGCCGCTGCGGCAGGGTCAAAGGGAATGGTGCCTCTGCAGGAGGAAGACAGCATCAGGACAGGTGGGAATGAGCACAGATCATGTTGCTCATGGCATTAGGTACAGGGTATTAGTCACATGGCATTAATCACATGGCACATGGCGTTATGACATGTTATGGAACAGTTACCACGAGGACACACAAGGTAGACGCACTTGTAGGGTCCAGCCACCTTACGAGGTCACTGATGGTTGGGTACAAACTTGTAGATGAGAACATGCTCTGGCCGCGTCCTCACAAGAGCCATTTGCAATCACAAGCACAAGAGGAATCAAACATGGACTCACTTGTTGGATCCAGCCACTTCTCGAGGTCACCGTTGGGTACAAACTCGTAGATCAGAACCTGCTCTGGCCGCGTCCTCATGTCTCCCCCCACTGCAAACCCAAGCAGCCGCACAATGTTGGGATGGTTCTTGTCCGCCATTTGCTGGACCTGCCGGGCATGAAGGAAGGGCATGCATCAGATAACAAGCATACAACGAATGCACTGATGACAAGTATGCAGCAGCACCGCGCACAGCACACGCTGATATGGGTTCGAGTAGCAGATTTCTGAATTGAGATGGAACATAACACGACAGGATTCCAGACACGCATATGTATAAATCTAGATGTGGATGTATGCACAGTAAACCCAATTATTCAACGAGTCACTCACCTCCCGCTGGAAGTCAACATCTATCAGCTTGGCACGCTTCACAGCCCATTGTGTGATGCCATCGCGCGGCGACACCCCCTTGTACACGTCACCAAAGGCCCCCGAGCCCAGCTGGTTGGCTGCGGACCAGCTGTTGGTGGCCGATTCGACCTCAGCGAGAGAAGTCTCAATGCTGTGTAAAGCTGCGAAACTGCCAGCCGTGGCTGCTTGTGGGACGAGGGTTGAGGGTGAGGGTGAGGGGCAAGGGGTGAGTGAGGGGCGAGGGGTGAGTGAGAGGTGAGGGGTGAGTGAGGGGTGAGGGGTGAGGCTGATGGCTCAAGGTCTGAGAGGTCTGAACAGATTCCATTGGCACCCCCCACCCCCCAACCCTCCCCCCCCCAACACACACACCACGAAATACAACAGAACCAAATCGAATAATAAAATTCTTGACCAGTTTTGCGTGTTTGTGCTTACACTAGTTTCCGTGAGAACAAGATTCCAACCTCTATCTATTGGAGGTCGCGGCTAAAGTCAATGGGACCCCCTTATCCCACTCATCTCTTCCCACTTACCCCTTTGCTATGTACTTGGTGTCCTTTTCCTCTACCAATGCTTCCTTCCCACCTGTTGATTTCTGAATCGCCTCAAAACTTACCCAGGAGCCTCCCAAGAATCACAGCACGTTGTCAGATTGCTAGTTGGTCTGTGCCCGCTCCTCTCATCTTTTGCTTGCTTCCTTTCCAAAGGACCTTCTGGCTGTATGACTTCTTGACCTCAGGCACTTATAGCCACCAATTTCTACGATGTACAATGGTACAACGTTCCTTCCCACCTGATGGCTTGTGCCGGAGGTAGAGCAGCACAGCAACTAGCAGCAGCACCAGCAGAAGCACGGCAGCAACACTTATGCCAATGATTGTCGCCCACGGTAAGCCACCGCTGCTACCGCTGCTGCTGCTGCTACCGCTGCTGCTGCTGCTGGTGTTGGGGCTCGCTGCCGATGGGGTGGGTGGGGTTGGGGAGACAGCTGCCAGCAGCCCAAAGAAACAGGCTCAGAAAGTTCACATGAGTTGAGGTCACTTGGGTGAGGTCACTTGGGTGAGGTTTGGGCCGGCAGTTGCACTAGAGAAATCTCAAAAGAACGTCCGGAGAAACAAGGTTAAGAAAGTCTTGTAACCTAGGCGAATGATTGATGCAATCACTCAACCTAGGTAGCTTAGAGCTATTGGAGTTAAATGGGCAAGTGACAGAATGTGCTGTTTCTTTTGTTCATAGAATCTTTGTTAATGCAATGATGCAGTGCGCTGCACTCACATGTAGAATTTAGGCAGGTTGTGCAAAAGGAACGGCACTTTCGGCAAAAGGCGGTCACAGGATTTTGCTTCGTGACACAGCTGGTTTCGTCAGCTGGACATGTGAGGTTGGTGCCCCATATAGTGCTGCCATGGAGAGGAGAGCAAGAATAGACAACCCATGGCTTTTGAAATGTTGGTTAGGCATGGTCACCTTCCCAGGCACGGTAGTAGATTCCAAGAACAGAACACACGCATCGTGGTATAAAAGCTTCCAAGTTTTGCAAGTAGAGAAGGCTTCCAGTGGATGGTGGAATGGTCCCCGAAAGGTTATTCGTGTGGAGATTCCTTTATTCACACATGCAAGCACAATATGAGGTGACGTGGAGAAACACTTTTGAGTCGACTCAGAAGGAGAGAGAACCGGAAAGAGCCAAGAACTTGCTGAAAGGTAATGCCCTTATTCTGAATGACAACGGTGATGCATGCATGTGTGTGATGACGGTTTCTTTTCGGCTGCGCACGCTGCCAGCGCCAATGCTGGATGTGTGGCCAGGCCACGCACCATGCGGTGGACAACAATAAACAGCTTACAATATTTCCAGGTACAACAATGACAAGCAAAAGCTTGCAATATTATGCACATTAAGTATGTTCTTCCACATGCAGTTCAGGCTGGCCCTGTTTGACTACACCTCCCGGTTCGACCAGGTTTGGCCTGAACCGGTTCGAGTACTGTACTTGCTCGTGCCTGCTTACAGGTGTTTCAGGTTTGTAAGGGTGCCGATTGCAGCGGGGATTGAGCCAGTGAGCTGATTGTACTGAAGATACCTGCAACGATGAATACGAATGGCATTATACTTGGAGCTGACGATTGCACAACGAGAAAGGAAAGGAGCAAGCAGCTCCTTTAGGAGGAAAAATTGCAGATGTTGCAACAGAGGCATGAAATGCTGAGCAATGGACTTTGTCTGTGAGATGTGTGCTGCCAATGGCAGGGGATACAAAGGGACCAGAAGTGAGGAAGGACGTGTTCCGTGCTTTCCCTAAGGGACCTCGCAATTTGCGCAAGGAAAAGACAAAAGGGAAAGACACTATAGCAGCAAAAAGCAACACCCCAACCTAGACATGAGCATGAACCGGACCCAAACAGGTTCGCCAAGCCTTGTCAAACTTCTTTCCTAGTCAAAACGAACCTGTTTGTTACAAACAAACAAAAACATGCAATGGAGAGGTTCAAGATCTGGAGGTTCAAGATCTGGAGGTTCAAGATCTGGAGGTTCAAGATCTGGAGGTTCACGATCTGGAGGTTCAAGATCTGGAGGTTCAAGATCTGGAGGTTCAAGATCTGGAGGTTCAAGATCTGGAGGTTCAAGATCTGGAGGTTCAAGATCTGGAGGTTCAAAATCTGGAGGTTCAAGATCTGGAGGTTCAAGATCTGGAGGTTCAAGATCTGGAGGTTCAAGATCTGGAGGTTCAAGATCTGGAAGGTCAGAATCGACCCAAACACGAACAGGTTCTGTTCAACTACCAAAATCGCCGACGTCGGGTCACGGGAGCAAAAGGGTCACGCTTGGACCTGGCCTCTCTCTCACGGCCTGGTTGCCTGCTCCCCATGATGTGGCCATATTGAACCTATTATCAAAGAACAGCCCCTAATTGCCTTTAAGAGCCCTACACGCCTAAGTCATGCAGATGGAGCTAAACCCTGAACGGAATGCTGTAAAATGAACTCGCCCTAAAATGAACCTTCAACTTCACACCACACCCATATGCAAGTGGGTAGGTGCGTGGTTTGCTTGGGTGGGTACGAGGTGTTGCCTAAGAGGTAAGGTGATGCGTCAAACTGCTCGACCGAGTTGATTCGGTTCGGGACGAACGTTTTTTGCAAACGTGATGCCTACGAGGTAAGGTGATGCCTACGAGGTAAGGTGATGCCTCAAACTTGTACAGTTCGGCACGAACGTTTTTTGCTAAGGAAAGGTCTGGTTCGACCTGTGGAGAAACCCGTTCAGTCAAACCAAATGGAAGTCATGTTCGATGCTTATCTCCGTCCCGACCTTACCCAATTGTGAGCCAAAAACTCAACATTCTGTTTAGGGTTCAATCACTTCAGCTGATCTCACCAATTGAAGATTTCAGCCTGTTTGAGATCGGTCTTCCCATTCATTTCAAGCCGTTTCTGATGTACCTTGAGCTCATTATTTATTTCATAGAATTTACCTCAAATTTTTACACACTATACCCAATCTATATAGCTTATATGCAGGATACAAAGTGAAAGAGAAGCGCAGAAAGGGAAACACAGCCAAGCAAAGGGGCTTACAGGTAATTCATGTTTGAAAGGTTGCCTATTGCAGTGGGAATTGCACCAGAGAGCTGATTGCTCGAAAGATCTCTTCCACGATGGGCGTGAACGGGCATGCGGTACATACACGAAGCTCAGGTTTGCATGGCAACGAGCAGCAGATAGGAAGAAGTAACTACAATCATAATGGGAGGCAATATCCCTGAAATCGCAAACAAGTCAAGAATGGCAGAGTGATGGACAACGTCCACGGGAAGTGTGCTGATAACGGCAGGGGATAGATGAGGGCAGGAAAAGTGTGGAAAGTTGTACTATATGTCTATGATGGAGAAGTGATGCTCGCTCGAAAAATGAGCCCAAGCACACTGACCCGCGACCTAAACATTGGTCGCGGGTCAAATCGTTGACAAACACATTGGTGTTCATCGACGCCCCGTGTCGAACACGGTATACGGCGGGTAAAAGACCGATTACTCTAAAAAAAATCAACAAGTTGGCTTCTTATAATCAAACATGAGAACGGAGCCTTGTGGGGCGGGCATGAGGGCGTATGAGCTAAAAAAAATATGGATCTAGAATGTCAACCAGCGCGTCCCAAGCCGCGTGATTGTTGACGTGAACACAAGAGTCTTTGCGACGCACAACATGTGCAGTCAAACATTTTTTTGTTCAACTCTCCATGGCTGAAATTCTCGAGCGAAACGAACATGGTTGAATTGAATAGCTACGTGTTCTAGTTGAACCGAACACATGTTTGATCATTATCTCATGCCTGCATGGCAAAGGGAAGCAAGGAATGTCAGGTAAAAGGAAGGGAATACCAATGCCAGCATCGGGTGATTCCTCAGAAGGAAACCTGGTGCCCAAATACTGACATACGTTACAAGCTACGCATGTTGCCAATACTGGATCAAATAGATCCGTTCTAAAAATTCGCACTCACGTCTGTGATTGGCCAAAAGGCTAAAGGGCATTCTATAAATTTTTTCTATTCCTTTCTGAGCTTACGCAACAACGCTTCACCTTTTTGGAAGACTAGGCTCGATCCGATGACCTCGCCACCTGAGGCCACTGACTCGCGTTGCCTTCGGGCTTGGCATTTCCAGACCAGCACCCAACCTTGCCTACTGAGGTTCCCGCCTAGCTAGGTCCTCCTCCGTTATACCTTGCTGGGGCTTCATTTCATTGACAATCGTTGTAATCGAAATATTCAAGGA